CGGGGGGGGGTGGGGGGGGGGGGCCTCGGCCACCACCAGCCGACACCAGCGCATAAGCGGGACACAGTGGTGTCCCACCATCCCCTACCCAACACCCCAGAGCATCATTTCAGCTGCTGCTGACAGACGCCGAGCCTTGCTGCTGGCCTAAATTTGGGGAGGGCTGCCCGCAGGGTTCAAGGAACAGCAGAAGCACTGCAAGCTCTTGGGAGAAGTCTTCCCAAGGACAGTGACAGCCCACCAAATACGCGTAATTCAAGTATTACCCCTAAACTCTGGCTGCTGCGTCAACATCTCCGAAAGCCGCAGAGCCACCCCATTCACCCCCGCGGGGAGCCCCGGGGGGTACGCGGGGAGCTCCCCGGAGAGGCAGGGGATGGAGCGGTGCAGGACGGCTCCCCTGACCCACCACGGAGCAGGGTTGTGTGCTTTCACCCCAGGCAAGCCCGACACCAGCAGGACGGGCTCTGCACCAATTCCCAGTGCCCAGCCAACACCAGTTTTCCCTGGTCTGCTCTCCAGATGTCCTGCTTCCCCTTCCCAAACCCAGCCTGCACCTCTCCATCCCAGAACAGGGAAGGCAGGCGTCAAAATGCTGTCACTACCATCACGCTGGGGAGAGGACCAGCTTCTCCCCAGCTTCCCCAAGGGGAGACTCACAGCTCCCCTATTTCACGCATCCCGCAGCCCTTCACCCATCCACACGCACCGGCCCACGCCATCGTATCCTGGCCGCCGGGGTCTCTTTGGAGAGAAGCTTGACAGGAGACACACGCACCAGGCACATTGTTCTTCACTGGCGCAGAGTTGGATGCTCTTGGCGGCAGCTGGAAGGTCTAGAGCCGAGGGGAGGGAACGCAGCGGTGGCTGTGGAGGGATGAATGCTGGTCCCTGCGCGGAGGGGACGCGGTAGCCGTAGATTAGCTCCAATTCCACCGAGGGTCATGATATGCTGTTCAGCACGTCTTGGGGCAGCTCACCCTTCCCGATAACCACTGCCCCAACAACGCAAAGTCAGTAGTGAGTAGTGTCCCATGAGGTATTTCTACAGATTTTGAAGCTCAGTTATTAGTTTCATCTGGAAGCCAAATCCTTTTTAAAAACAACATACTTTTTCTCCAAGCCCAAAACTGAGGCCAGAGGCGATGGTGAAGAAAGGGAGGGCAGCACCCTTCGTAGCAAAGCTTGGCAGAGGCAGGCAATCGAAATTTTTCCCAGCTGCTTTAAGACCCACACGACTGTGTCTAATTGAAGGACACAGACCATTCTGCAGGGCGAGACCAAAGTCCTAGCAGCTCCTGTGTGACCGCAGCCAGCTCACAGGGCACCGACCTCAGATCTGGAGACCCGGGCCACACGCAGCGTTGCGTTTTCAGACCACGCTTTTGCAGGATGGAGCGTTTCCTTCACTTGGGCTGAGAGCACAGGAACACTCGCTCGTTTAAATCCAGGAGGAAAGATGCTTCTCCAGACTTCTCAGCATCACTCTGGGCAAAGTTTGAAGTTTAAACTTTACCATGAAATGCAAACTCTTTGTAGTTGCTGCAATGGGTGAAACAGCAGACCAGGATTTGAAGGGGTGGGGGGTATTTCAGCCAGTGCCAAGCCCAGAAACACAGCAAGAGCTACCACCTCTCTTGGTTCACTGTTTCTGAACTGCTGTGGTTCCACGGACATTCCAGGGAGAGGAGGCGGCAGTAAGCAAGCTCGCAGAGATCAGATGCCGTTCCAGAAGACCCCTAAGTTACCTATTTCTTGCTCCGAGTCACCCCAAAGATGCCTCTTAATGTCCCGGCAAGTCCTAATCAGGATCCTTCACAGCTCTACAGAAAGCCACTTCATTCACAGCTCCCGGACACAGCCAGAGAAAGGCTAAAAGTGCACGTCCCACGGCTCTGAAAGACCGAGATCGCTGTAGCAAGTGCCTTGGGCCCACGGACTGCTGCAACAGTTACAGCAACAGCTTTGCCACCTTCCTTCCACGGGATTCAGCGAAATCTTCCAGCGTTTGCTCCTCAGAGGAGCAGCCCTTGCTCCCCAGTGCAGCAGCAACCATTCCCTTTGGCAGAAGGCTCCAGGACATCCAATGGCTCACGTGTTCTTCCTTCCTTGGATCCGACTTAAAAGCATATAGGACCACGCTGCAAATCCAGTTGCAAAGCTCCGCTGCCCAAGGCTAGGTTTGGTCCTCTTTTCCCAAATCCTAGAAAGCAGGGGAGCTGTGCAGCTGCCCGCTGTCCAGAGCTCCACGCTCCCCAGAGGTCGTTCCACGTAGCTGCGTGTGATTCTGGCGCAGTCTGCCTCCGAGCAGCTCTCCGGCTGCATCCCCTCCCGGTGAGGGCCAAAGAACAGTCTTGCCATAATGCCTGGAGCAGATGATCTTCCTAGAGAGTCCCCTTCTCTGTCTCTCCCCACCTTGAAGTTTCCAAGGGAGGATAATAAAATTCAGCTGATCATAAGACAGTATTTCTCATGCTGAAAATAAAAAAAAAAACCAAACAAAACATCAAAAATAAAAACTTTCAAAAAATTGTAAGTAGTGCCATGACATTCTTTGTTCTGCAAGGAGTCCGCGAGCTGGGCTCGGCTGTCTCCAAGACCACTCTCCCTCATCCAGGAGCCGAGGCTCTTGTTCCCGTTCTGCTGTGCTTCTTAGGAGTCTTGAACTCTCTTCTCTGTACGAAAGAGCTGGAGAGCAGAAGCGGCACCACAGAAGCAGGCTTCACCGTCGCGTGCCTCCTTCCCACCACAGCCTGACTCGGGCTACAGGATGGCAACAATCAAATTCCTAGTGGGGAAGAGAGAAGGGAGAGGGATCAAACAGCCCGCTTGACACGGCAGGATTCGCCCCAGACCGCAGCCGGTTTGGCACAAGAGCGAGCACAAGCTCGTGCGGGTGCAAATATGCACCAGAAAGCAGCAGAAGCCTCATTCCCCTCCCCAAGGAAAGCTGGGCAATGGTAAAAGACCATGGAGTGCACAGCTACAACTTCTTTGGGAGAGTTTTGGTTGGTTTTTGCAGTCAGAGGGAACAGAGCAATTTACGCTTCACCCCACAGGGCGGTGCACAGACCAGCAGCACACACGTACCATCAGTGACAGCAGCAAGATGGGCGAGGCAGCCTCGCTACGTGGAGGATTCGGTCTCCTGCTTCTGTTTGGAGATGAGCTGAGCTTCCTTCAGCGACAGATACACCTCCTCCTGCGGGTCGTAGTAGTAGAACTTGCGGATGTAGGAGATCAGCGGCCTGGGGAAGGTATGGGCAGAAGCTTTAACCCTGAGCCACAAGCACGCCAAGCTCCACAAAGGATAACCAGAACCTCTCCCCCAACCCACCCAGCACGGTCACCTCCAGCGGGAACAGCAGCCTGTACCCCGAGGCTGTGGCACTGGCAGATAACACCCCACTCCTGAGCTGGTCACCACTCCCACATGCATCCCTACACACCACCGGACATTTAGCTTCCTGTCCCAAGGCTGAAGAAGTCAACTACACGCTCCCAGAGCCCTTGCTGCAGATACAGACACCTCCTCGTGGTGGCTGCGGCGAGGGTCAAGGAGGAAACCAGAGGGACTGGCCTGGGGACGAGTCTTCAAGACTTACTTGGGCAGCGGGAGCTCGGGGATGTGATCTATTCGGACCAACTGCCTGATCCGAAAGCGGCAAAGGTGCTGAAGGGATTTGACATTGCTGAACCTGGAGACTGGATACAGGAGCTGGACAGGCGTTGGAGGGAGACCTTTGGAAAAAAAAAAAGCAATATTGGAGACAAGTGTTATATTAGAAAGGAACCGCTACCATTTCAGAAAGGAGAAGCTGGCTCTTGGGAACCGGAGCTCTCCACAAGGCTGTGTCCGACAGCAGATCCCCCCAGGAGCCCACTCCTTCAGAGCGGCTTGGGACTGGGTAGCCAAACCTCCCAGAGCCGATACCCTTCTGGCTGCAAATTATCTCCAGCCTTCCTAACAAGGCGACAACAGTTCTGATGTGATGGGGCCGCTGTGGAGAAGCAGACCCTGGGACACCGCAAGCTCCTAACCACCCCCTCTCCCAGGACTAGTAGACGAAGCATCACTTTACACTGAGAAGCAACAGGGTTTGAGAGGGCACGGAAGAAAGCCAAAGCAGAAGGCTGGCAGCATGACCGGCACGTAGGCTTTTCTCGGCATAACCCTTTGGGTAGTTCTAGCGAGGCATTAAAAAGCCGGGGGATTTGGTCAGCTCAAGCTGCGCCAGAGCTGCTCATTCTTGGGGTCACGAGGCTGGGCACAAAGGCAGAGGCGGCAGCAGCTTCGCTCGAGCCAGCTCCCCACGCAGGGAGCAGCCTCGCAGGGCTGAAAGCGCTTTGCATCCAGCGGCCCCACAACCTCCTCCTCCCCCAAAGTTAAGAGCAACAATCGAGCCCACAGAACCAAAAGGTCGGCAGGAGCACCAGGAAGGATCTTTGCAAGCTGGGTTCACTCGCAGCACAAGGTTTTATCTGTCTTTACAGAAGGATTCAAAGCTAGTTACACTCTAACCCCCTCCTGCTGGCTTGTCTCAGAGGGCAAAGGAGAGAAAGGAAAAAAGGGAAAGCTCTTCACACTAAGATGGGCTCAAAACTGCTCCAGGCAGCTCAGGAAGCTGTGAGCCAGCTTTTGAGAAAGCAAAGAACAGCAATCAATTGAAGGCTGGATTCTCCCCCCACCTCCTTCTCCTACCAAAAAGGAATTAGCCTCTGGGAGCTCAGCCAGCGACTACAGGGACGCAGCACGAGCTCCGCACGCTGCGCTAGCCACATGCCTCGCTGCCAGGAGCCAGATGCGAGCTGGAAACAGCCCCCTCCTCTGAGCAGCAGTTAGCATTTCAGCAGGCG